GAATCTATTGCTTGTTCAAACAAGTTTGTGCGGAGGGGGGGAAGTGTGAAGAACAAGAAGTGCTGTTTTTTTGCTTTCATTCAGTTCATGGGAATCACTCAATGCTCCGGTTCTGCTTAGAGACTTTCTTTTTAAAGCTTCCTTCACTTTTTGAATGAATTAAAAAAAAAAAGCTTTGAATTTTCAAAAGGCTAAAGGTTTTGTGGAGGATTTGGAAAATGAAACAAGGATTATTCTAATTTGTTTCAAATAGTATCTTTGAGACAAGAGCATTCTCTTTGTTGTTTCCAAAGCTTTAAGGAACTGTGAAGCTGCAGGAAGGCCCCTTGGAACAGCTGGTTATGCTTCTGTGTCTTCTCCACCCTGCTTCTCTAGATACTAATTGTACCCCCCTGCCCTCCCCGGATAACCCAGTGGCCTCTTCATGTGTACTAACAAAGGCAGAAAGCAGAGCAGCCTCCACATTTTATGCTGGGGGTGTGCAGGTAGGTCTTCAGCAGCAGGAGAAAGCAAATGAGAAAGCAGAAGGTAGCTGACTTTCTTCCTTGCCCCTCGGGTTCTGCAGTGGTGACATCAGCTCCTGTACTGGGCCTGTGAGGGTGCAAACTGAGTGTTTATAGAGGATATTTGATTTATTCAAAATATATCATTCAGGAAATTTTTTCACTGCTTGCATAAGTCAGTGGCAGCAGCACTCAACCCTGCTGTGTTCCAGTGATGTGGGCACTGCTGGGTTCTCTGTGTCTGTCTCAACTCTCATAACTCATCATATGTCCTTGAGCATGTTTCTCAGTCTCATTTATGAAAAACAGGAATAGTTGTTTCTTGTTTCAGTACAACTTGGGGTCTTGTGAGGATCACTGGTACTGCTCAACAGTTAATCACAATCCAAGTCCAGAAATAGAGGATTCAATTAAATTCAAGTAAAGCTATGGCTGAGTTTAGCTCCAGTAGGGTATATTCCATCAATGAGGTGTTGCTGAGCTACTATCCTGCCCAAATCCTGGTGCCAGCAGAGGTTGGGCTCTGCTCTTATTTCCCTGGGAGAGCAGGAGTGTAGTATAACAAGGGAGCAACGTGTTCTGCCTTGACATGCTCGGAACAAGGTTACTCCTGTACAGAATGACAACATGAAGATACTATGCCTTTCCTAGGGTAGAGAGAGACAGGGCTACATTTTAAGATCCCAAATAAAAGCAATTAATCTGTGTTTTGAAGTGTTTTCATAATTTTAAAACAAAGAAGCTATCCTGTTTTGTTTTCCTTTGTTCCTTTAATAGTGACTATTAAGACTAAGTTATTTCCATAAAGAACTCTGTTTAATAGTATCTTTTTGAAATTCATGAGTTGCCTTCCAAATAAGTGTCGTAGTCTAAAATGTTGAGTTGAAGGGACAAAAAGGTAGTTGAGGTGTGAAGCAGTCAGGGCTGTTTCACTCAGCACTGTTCTGTAGTGTTTACAGAACCAAAAGAGCACAGAAAATAGATTATTGTAGATGTATATATTTACTAGTAGGAGAGACTCTGCACTCTTTTTTTATGAATCGGCACTCTTTTTTTATGAATCCTGCTAAAAGACCAACCTCCAATTCTTTCTCATTCTGCTGGAATGGTTGATAATGCTGTATTTACAGGGGTGCAGTAGACCAAATGAAAAATCTGTCCATATTTTCACTGCATGGTGTGCCTACAGTGTCTGGTACTGCAGGATCCTATTCGTAGGTTCAAGCTTTAAATGCTGCCAGAGTTAGATCAAATTGCCATAGCAGCAATAGTATGTTGTAGCATAGTTGTTGCAATGACCAAACATTACTTTAAACTCAATTCACTTTCATGTAAAGAAAATCAGACAAAGCAAGAAAGACACTGACAAAATACTGTGTAAAGTAATTCACTTAACTGTGTTCTGTGAGGACTGTTGGGATCCTACATCTTCCTGAGGGACATAAATATATTTTTTCATAGCATGTAGGTTACATGGTTTTACTTTAAAAATCCAGCTTTGCACTATGTTATGATGCCATCCAGCATGTTCAGGGTTTACCTCAGCTTCTTTGGTCCAGTATTTTTTGTGTTGGATATAGTTTTCCTTTGGCTGTCTCTTTACTGCTACCTCAAGGTTGGATGTCGTATTGCTCTGCATTGGAGTTTCTGCTTTGATCTACTCATCCACCTTAGAGGCCTGTTGGCTTCGTTAAGAGTTATATTGAAAGGCCTTTGAAACTAATAATGAAATACTTTCTTGTCGCAGGATGAAAGGTATTGAATATGAGTCTATATGAGATTGTGCTGGTGCCATTTGAACTGTCAACCTGTGTATGTTGAGGTATTGTCTTGCTAAATATTTTTAAAATTCAGATATTGATTTATGCCCCTGAGTATATTTGAACAGCTAAATCTTCTTCAGATTTGTAGTCTTTGAGTCTTGTTGACTTGGTGGAGCTATGCTGTCAAACATCATCTCTTGTAGTGGCATCTGCTGTCTCTGGGTGTGCCCCAGAGCCATTTAGCTCCATTTGGTCCTTTGACAGATTTGAAAGCTGGTGCCCCCAACAGGCCACTATCTGTTTGTTCATTATCATAGGGTTGATTTCTGTATTTCAACTAACAAAACCTAGTTAGTTTTTTAACAACAAAACTAACATTCAGGGTATTAAAAGCAGCACTGATAAAATAGTGTGCTCTTTCCTGGTTTCAATTTGTATAACTCCAACTTTTGCCATTATTTTTGTTATATATTTGTCTACTGGTTTGGAAAACCTTAAATACTTGCTGCTTTCTTCTTGTGAAGGTCTCTGTGAACTGTAAACAAGCAACTTGTAGATCTTTTTTTGAAGCTCTAATTAGGGTGTGCTTAAGCCTCCCACTTCAAGGCATCTTTTTTAAACCATCTTCAGTTTTCCAACATTTTATTACTTGGACAATAATTCTGGATGTAGTCTTCAAGGATCACTGGGATGAACACAAAATACTTATAATTCTACTCTTTCTATATTTTAATTTGTTTTAGTAGTTTATTTGAAAATAGCTTTTCTTCACAATTTCTTACCATGTTAACTATGATAGCCATTGTTTAGACCTCCTCTCACTGTAAAGCAAAGTAATGCCTTTGAGATTAGTGAAGATATTGAAACCAGTGGAGATACACTGATTTATTAGGGTGTAAGTCTGGTCACCATCTATAGTTCTTTTGGCTTTAATGGATACCTGGCATTTGTAGCTGTCAGAACATGATTGAAAAATGGATTGAAGAAAAAAATACTCTTCTGATGTTCTAAAAAGAGAAAATTGCATGGAAGGTTCCTCTCTCTTATTCTGTTTCATTCATGAGAATAATTGAGGGTGTAATTAAATGCAAATTTCAGATGCAGTCACATACTTCTAGATCTAAACACAACAGTGATGCCTAAGGAGAAGGAATGATTTAGAAAAGGAAGCTGATGAAAAGCCTGGCACAAAAGAAGACCCATATGTTGTTTTTCGTAATTGTTTTCTTTAAGCTGTTTCCAAGGTACACAGTGGTGCATAGCACAGTGGGGCGCAGCATTTATGCAGCCAAAGGGTCACAGTACAGGCTGGGGGCTGCATGTGTACGGCTTTTTTATGTCTTTCAGTGATTCTCCAGTCTTATCTTCACATTTTTGAGGGTCTCTTTACTGGTATTGGGGGAAGCTGCTGAAGAGTTGGGCAGGCCTTTTCTATTTGTTCAAGACAAGCTGATAGAACAGCAGGCTGCTGATGCACCAGCTGCACATGCTGCAGAAGAGCTCTTAAAGTTACAATGTTGAATGTTTCTCACCACTGCAGTGATTTTCCCAAGGACAGTTCTGCTGAGTTTTTTAAATTGTCACAATTCCTTTTGACAAGGATGGTCAGAGTCTGTTGAAGTCAGTGGAAAGATCTCTATTGGATCCAGACTTCTTGATGGCTCTGAATTGGACAGGTTCCCATTGATGGTCTTTTTGACATTAGTGTTGTATGGAATGTTGGGCTCTTCAGTGATTTGTAATGGAAAAGGTTATCTAATGTGGGCACATGAGCTGGAAAACTAGGCAGGGCTTGGAAGCACCTTAGTTCCTTACCATCTGTTAGTAGTGGTTTTGGGTTTGGGAGCCGCCTGGGCTTGCTTGAGAGGTCTGATCCCATCAGCAAGGAATGGTTCCTCACTTGAAGCACCTCACCCCTGTTCAGCTAGCAGTGGCTCATTTTGGTGGCTGAATCCCAGCAACCTCCTGGCAGTACATATGCAGTAGATTATGTGCAAGACAACAATAATGACCCCATTACCTGCCTTGGCTTTTTCCCCCACTAGTGTTTTCAGTGCTGGAATTTTACTTGGAACCTCCAAACTCACACTTTATTTTTCTGTAAGAAAGCATTTACTCTGCCTCCAGGTCCCATAGCTATTTTTGTAACAGCTTGAGCATCTTGCAATTCCTTCTTAAGACACTGCACTAACTTTGTGCATTTCTGCTGGTAAAAAGGTCCTTCATATGCTTGAATGGACTTGCTTGTGCAGCCAAGGATCCTGCTTTCCTTTTATGCCCTGACTTTTGATGGCTGGTGTGATAACATTTACAATTACATCACATAGCTCTATGCTCTAGGTATTGACTTTAACAAAGATTGTGAATAATTCATTCTCACTGTAACCCTGCCAAAGTTTTGTCTATCAAAGCTACAAATACCTGTGCTGGAAGAAAAACTTTCTCCTTTCTGGCATGCCAGTTTCCATGTTCGACTCTATCCTGTAGCAAAGTCAGTCCATGCCAGCTGTTGCAGAATTATAAAGTGGCTCTGCCATCGTGGAATTGTCATTCAAACTTCACAGTGCAATTAGGCAGGAGGGCCAGATAATGTATGTGTGTCTCTGTGAACCTAAATGAAGTGGAGTACTCCATGTAACTTCCTTTAACTGTTCCAAATTTGCGTTTCTTGTATTTCTTCAAAATGTGTGATTCCTCTGTATTTACTTAATCTTCTCCTTGTCCCCCACAACAGTCAGAATGGGACCTGTACAGTGTCCAGACGCCAGAACACCATCCAGGAGCTTTTGCAAAACTGTTCGGATTGCCTGATGCGAGCTGAGCTCATAGTACAACCCGTGAGTGTTTCTTGTTGTTTTTATCAAAAGTCATCATGAATATTACAGGGAGTGAATGCTGTGTTGTTACCTGGACTCACAGGCTCTGCTTCTTCATCTCCTTTCTCCCCTTTCAGCTGTTTGTGCGAGGCAACTAAGAGTGTAATGGCATACCTCCTTCCTGGATCTCTTTCTTCCCTCTGTACTCTGTTCGGTAAAACTGATTGAAATGCACCTGGTTAAGAAAAGGGGGGCTTCTGATTTTTAAAAAAAACAAACCCATCCTCAAACAGATTGTACTGCATCTTGTTTTTCAGTTTTAGGTTAGGAACACTACAGTGTAAACAGCTCTTGCTAATATTATGACTACATACACTCTTTCAGTGTGTCCTGTAGAATATTGTCATCATTTTCTGGGCCATAATGAACCTTAATCACCATAGGAAATACCTTCATTATCTTTATTTTATTTTTCCAGATGATTCCTAAAGAAGTGTATGAAACTAGATTAAAATCTTCTTGACTGTTTTAACTCAAATGCATACAGGTGATCTTTGCAGTACAGCACCCTGGTACAAACTCATAGTACCTGGGGATGGGTTACTCACTGATGTTAGATTCAGTCCTGGCAAGCATGGGATGTCCTCTGTTCCTGCTGAAGACAGAGGAGGTGCAGGGTGGTGAGTGCACCCTGCTGCTGAGGCCACTGAGATGTGAAAACCCTTCACAGTTCTGGCAGTAAATGCGATTTAATGCACACTTTTGGACCCTCTTTGGACAGAAAATTCTTTCAGGAATGAACTCTGTGGTTAGCAGTTTATTTCCTTTTCAGAGATACAGGACGTGAGACCATGTTTATATAAAAATCAATGCCAGAGTAAATACTGCCTTTTGTTAAGGATTAATATTATTCCAGTGCAGTTAAAAGAAAGACATGTTTAGTTCCAGCTTGGTGCCACAACATGCATTGCTTACTTTGTTTCTTTCTTTTCTTGCTAAGGGACAAAGTAATGAGGTCCATAACATTTTGTTTGCAAAATCAGGTCAAAGCTGGATTATGTTTTGTTTAGCATGTCAGCTGTGTCAGCGTGGGGTGAGGTCAAAAAGCAGTGTCTTCCTGCTTGAAACACCACAACCATGCTGGTCCACTGGACTGAGAGGGTGCATGGAGAATTTGCATAGATTTTGGGTGATAAGGTGGGATGCAAATGTGATGATGCATGGAGCTGAAGACGGCAGGGTGCAACCTGCATTTTTGTAGGAGGGGGAAGTTTTAGAACCTCAGGGAAACTTGTGAAAAATCAGGAGCAATATGCCAACTCCCACAAAGACAGTGTTTGCTTCTCATATTCTAAACACAAGAGTATATTGTCTTAAAAACTTAGCACACTGTGTGAAGCCTTGGCTCCACTGAAATAAATATCAGTCAAGATGTGCTGTTCTTTATGGAATGTTTTGGTTGATACTACATCTTAATAACTTTCATATTTTATTTTAATAAGGACTTTTCAGCAACTGTGGCTCTTTTGTTATTTGGCCTTCTGTCAGTCAAAATTGGCAATCAGAGACCTGACAGTTTAAACTTATCATGCTTCAAAAATAATCAGTCTTCATAACATCTCTTTTAAAACAACCAAGATGAATATTTAATTTAATCTCCTTTTCTTTTTTTTTTCTTTGTTTGTTTTTGTTTTAGGAATTGAAATATGGGGATGGTGTCCAGATTAGAGGGAACAGAGATCTGGAAGAGTGTTTTGCACAGGCAAATGACCAAATGGATATCCTGGATGGGCTGATCAGAGAGATGAGGCAGATGGGCCAGCCCTGTGACATGTATCAAAAGAGGTATTGTCAGGGAAAGGTTGGGGGCGGGAATGTGACTGATAGAAGTTTGTGGTATCTCAAGTGCTCACCTTCTGTGATGTTGCAGGATGTGATAGAAGTCAATAAAGTGGAACTATATCTGTTTCGGGCATGCTAACATGAAAAAGGGCCTTGCAGTATTGTATTTCTGATGGAAGTTCACACCTCAGTTGTCTTCACGAAATTTTAGTTAGTATGTTTTTTCTCCAGCTTTTGCTTTCAGCACTTTGTTTTGAATACCTGGTGGTCCAGTAAGACAGATAAATTACTTTGTTTCTATGCTTTCCTCACAGACACTAAGTGGTTCCTTCCCTTTCAGGCTGCTTCAGCTTCAAGAGCAAATGCGTGCCCTGTACAAAGCCATCAGCGTTCCCCGTGCCAGGAGGGCCAGCTCCAAAGGCGGTGGTTGCTTCTCCTCTCAGAGTGGCTCAGGCTGGGATGAATACACAAAACGTGTCACAAGTGAATGTCTAAACTGGATGAGGCAGCAGAAGGTAAATCTGTGCAAAACCCAGAGACTGCTAAAACTTGGTGCTGTTAATGATTGTTGCCTCATATGTAGTAATGTTTTGGTTGCCAGAAGAAAAGTAAGTACTCATGAATGCCTGCATATTATTCCAAGTTCATCTTTCTGCCCCACTATCCATCTCCCCAGTATTTTATGTATAGTGAATTTCCACTGAAATACAAACATGAATTTGGGGGCTTCTTTTGCAGAGGAAAAAGTGTGGAAGTTAGATTTGAAAGCTAAATGAGACACAGCTGTTAACATAACAAAAGGCATTGGAATATTTGTGTTAGAAATTATTGTGCTCAATATTTCCCTTCTTCCTTCCTTCCACAGAGTTCCTTTGATTCATAGTTATTTTAACCCTTTACACAGATAGGACCATCTTCACAGATTTAACCACTGTCCAGTGTTTTACGATTTTTCTCCCCCTCATGCCTGTTCTTTCCACCATGCCTTGCTGTATCCCAGTACATGCTCCCACTGAGACTAGGATAACGTTTCCCCTAGTAATGTGGTGAGATGTGGGAAAAAGTTCTGAGCAGCTGAGGTTTTCTGCTGATGTTTTTCTGTTTTTTCTGTCTGGATGGTTAGCTGATAGGAGAATCAGGTGGGCAGAGGGTTGGTCAAATTTCCAGTGCCGAATTAGGGAAAGTGCAGTGAAATCAAGCCTTTGTTCACATACTGGCAGCCAGCCATGACTGCCACTGTTGCTACAGTCTCTTTAGATTGTTCAAATATAACTAGAAGGGTCAAAGTCCTGTAACTTGTAAATGGCTGAATGAAAAATGGTTTTGTTTCTTGGATCATTTTCAACACTGCCTTTGAAGTCCCATGCTTGAGTGTGGTTTATTGTTATCTATTGACTCACAGAGATTTGACTCCAGACTGGTAATTTCTAAATTCAGTCCCAACCCAGAATGAAGATATCTGTTTCTTTACTGTGCACATGCACAGACAGGCATTCAGAGAGAGTCGTAGTGTGTCTTTACAGCAGAAAGGAGGATCTGGAGTTTGAGGAGCTGAACTGCGAATTCAGTGGCTTTTAATATTTGGAAAAATGAAAGAAAGAACTGCAATCAGTTCTTGGGTCAGTAATTATGAATAGTATTACTATTTTCCAAAGCAGTTTCTAGAGATTTTCACTTGGCATCCTACAATAAATGTTGTCAAGATGCAAGACAAACAAAATGTTTTATAAAAATTTCAGTTTATCTTTTTTTTTTTTCTTTAATTTAGTTTGACTGGATTTAACTCAAGTTATTGAAGTTTACATGAGCAAATTTAAAATGGAAATATAATGTATTGGGCTACAGAACTTAACTGGGTATTTTCGCATGGACTGCATGAATAGCATTGTTTGATAAAGTCATAGTTTGTTTTCAGAGTGATAAGAACATAACTATACTGTAGAACATAAAAGAACAGTTTGATCCAAAGAAAACAGATGAAAGCACAATACTGAGAGTGCTTCATCTAGTCTAATTATAAACAAATATTTTTCCTACTTTGTTTCTTCTGCTTTGGGAGCTTAAGTGACGACAATTTAAAGAAATTGTAACCTCCTGTTCTGAACTTTCCTTTGTTCAATTTTACTCTCTAATGCATAGTCATGTTTTCTTCAATTCCATTCCTTTATGCTCCAGTTCGGGCAGTAATGTTGGAAATGAAAGTACAAATACTGTTTCTTTCTCCTAGGCTGAAATGGAGCTAGTGAAGTGGGGGTTTGATGCAGCATCCATTGAGCAACAAATAGGCGACCATAGGAGAACTCACAATGCCATTGGAGACTATCGTTGGCACTTGGACAAAGTCAAAACAGATCTGGTAATTACTGGCTTCCCTTACAAGTTACTTAGTCTAGATTTATATCCTTGGTTTACTGTTGTTCCACTACAAAAAAGGAAGATTGAGTAGTTCATCCTCTCTTCAGAAAGCACTGGTGTCATGATAGCAACCACTTTAAACCCTAATTTCATGATAAATTTGTGTTTCACTTCTTTTCCCAGATTTTGAAATGAAAATTTAGTAGCTATTGAACTTTTTGTTGTACATACCAAGGCTGACAAATAAATATTGTAACATTTTTTTGTGTGAGAAGAATGACTAAGAATGATTATTTTCACTTGCTGTCAAGGTATTTTAAACTAAAAAGTGAAAGAATAGGGTGGATGCTCAGATCCAGGCTTGAGTCATCAGGGTTTTTTTCTGTGAAACATGCAGAAATTCTGGGCTAAGCTTAAAACTTTTCTTAAGTGTTGATCTTTTTACTTTTTTTCCCCCTTCTGAGACTTCTGTTTTCCTCTGAATTTTGTGATTGGAATAAAGAAGTCACTAAAAATGCAGTTAGCTTCCTCTGCTATCAGCCCAGCAGTTAGGAAGATGAGAAGGGAGGCTTATTTATTTCTATTCATCTTTTCTCTAAATTGGGAGGAAGACAGTGCAGTCCAAAGAAAAGACACTCTGTTCTGGAGCTCTGATCTCTCAAGCAAGCTGAAGAGTGAAAGGGATGTTAGTCCTTTTTCCCTTCTGCTTCAATTAGGAAAGGTGATAGTCTGGCCCTGTGGAATACCAGTTCCAAGGCTGGGCAGGTTATCAGCCATAAAAGTGGGAATAAAAATCGTGGCCTTCAGTTCCCATTGTAATTTATAGTACTTCATAGTCTCCAAAGCTAGCTCCAGGACTAGCTAGCATAGGAATTTGGTACAAAAAGAAATCCAGTTTCAAGTAGTTGCATTGGTATTACAGGTGTTATGTGCAGACTTGTCTATATGCTAAGTGATCCCTAAGGGTAGTAAGTTTGTCTGAGCCTTGGTTTTATGCTTCCTGTGGTCCTCCAGTGGTGCATCCATCTATGTCTTCTGTAGGAATTTGCAGGTTACCACCTGTAGTTATTATGATATTAACACTGTAAAGGAAATATTAGCCAATAGGCAACTTGTGAAAGGCTGATTGAGTATTTCCTGTGTCTTTTTCAGCGGGAGAAGGCTGCGGTTCATCAGCTGGAGGAAGAATATGAAGGCCTACTGGTGAGCATGAGATGTGTTCATTTCTGATACCCTGTATGACAAAGGTGCTTTTGCTTTGTTAACACTGGCATGGTAGTGAAGGGACACTTCAGGTTTTGACAGCGACAGAGTGACAGAATTATTGAAATAATTCTATTCAGCAGTAAACTGACAGTGCTTTTCAGTTTCTTGATTCATTTTGAGTCATGAACTTGAGATTAATTTATTGCCTGGTGTATAATTGACTTACTCCCACAAGGAAGTTTCTAGTTTGCACTAGGTGAAGGGAGTTGGTCACTAAGCAGGTGGAGAGTGGAACTCTACCTTCTTAATGGGAGTAGTGTAGCGAAGAAATTAGACTGTATATGATGCTTAAAAAGTTACTCAAAGGTGGGATTAGATTCAGGTTCTGTGTAGGGCTGTGCATCTTTCCTGCTTTGGATTTTCGTATAAAATACAGTGACAATCTTATGAAAATGGTTTATTTAACCCTTGGGATCAGAAGCTGATTCCTGTGCACATTTCAAGCAATAGGGTCTGTATTACGATGTGAAGACAGAGAAGGTATTTTTTTCATGAAGTGTCATCTGTGCAAAAGGTTCTACAACACCAAAGATGTTCTATGAGCAGCAAATGCAAGTAAAAGTGATGTTAAGTGTTCAGACATTTCTTGGACATTTCTTTTCCATGCCTTTTTGCTTGCCTGCATGTCTGCTACATGTGTGTTTGAAATGACTTTCAGAAGCTGCTGGCATCAAGTTCCCATTGTTCTATAAACATGTTGTCTGCTGCCCATTGCCATTACATTTCATCAATAAGCCCAGGCACATTATCTGCTGTCCATTGCCAACAGCTTTTATAGTTGTGTGGGTTTTACTGTTATTTTAGTAAAAAAAATAATGATAAAAAAGACATGCTGTGCTGTGTTCTTGGCTTCCCTTTCTCCACCCAGCACAGGCATTCCTGTGTTTATGGCTTCTCATTTCTGGAATTCCTTGCAGAAATACTCCTTTGAGAGAATGGATCAGCTTCGTCAATTCCAGAACCTCATTCAGGCCACCAGCAGAGAGATCATGTGGATCAATGACTGTGAGGAGGAGGAGCTTCTCTATGACTGGAGTGACAGGAACACTGATATTGCCAGGAAGCAGGAGTCCTTCTCTGTAAGACAGCTCAACATTCCCCCATTTTCCATGGATCCTCTTTTGGAATAGTGAGGGAGGAAGAGCCTGTCTCAGGAAAGACTCATCACTGGGATGGGCATTTCTTCATGTTTCAAAGTTTCTGGGGATTTTATCAACCCTTTTCAATTAAGTACAGTGTAACAACCTTTAGAGTTAAGATAGGACATCTATTAAGAAGATTATTCAGTGAGTTGTCATGGTTTCTTTTGACCTTGGAAGCTGGCCTTGGCACAGTCCACTGTGGACTAGTGATCCCATATAGCTTGTGCACATAGTCATTATGCTGGCATGCTAAGCTAAGGGACTTGAATCAGGCAGTTTAGTTCTCCCTGTTAGGACTATGCAAGGGCTAGGGAGGGCCCCTGTATTTGGCCGTGGTTATTTGTCATTAGGAAGTAGAGCTATACCAGAGGCTCTTTTCCTCTGATGGTTTTGCCAGCAGCACATTAAGTGCGTGGTCTGAGGTAGTTTGCACTGCTCCTTCTCATCTGTGGGTATGTAGGGAAATTGAGCATGTGTGTTTGTTTAACCAGTGTTGGTGCTGATCACCAAATTGAAAAAGGAATGAAGGTTCACACTACTAAGAAGGTACTTTTTTTAGTTCAGTTGTTTTGGGTGTTGCAAGATACAGTCATTTTTACTTCCATTACTCCTAGGAAAGGCAGAACTTTTTGTGCTTTGCTCTGTGCAGCAGCAAGCCTAGAGACTAGAACTGAGATAATTGTACCTTCCTTGATTCTACTGTGTTCATAATTAACTTCAGTACACCAAATAGAATTACTACATAGTGTTAGCAGGGATAATTTTACATTATCACAACTATCTGGAAAATTTGGAACAAATCATCCTGTGCACTGTACCTTTGGGAGTTTGTTTAATGCTGTGGTTTTGTTTGTTTAGAAACGCATGAGTGAACTGGAGCTGAAAGAAAAAGAACTCAACAAGCTAAAGCAAGAAAGTGACCAGCTAGTGCTCAACCAGCATCCTGCTTCAGACAAGATCGAGGTGAGTGAGACACACTTGTGTGATTTCACTTGCTCCTTTAATTGCTACCTGGGAGAAGTTCTCAATGAAAGTTCACCAATGAAGTGCTGCCTCTGGACCTGAGAAAGGTTTGCCTGCCAAAAAGCATGTCTATTTTACCCAGCTCTATTAAATAAATGTTACTACCTTCCCCTACAAACCTGGCCATAACAACTGCACAGTGATAGATGCATGTAAAAATTAATTCTAAGCTTGGGGAGTTATCTGAGGGTATGAAATTGCTGTATCTAGTTAGAGTTAACTACAGTGCAGTGGAATTTATGGTAGGAAGGCACGTCATTGTTGCTGTTCTGCTATCTTAGTAGGCATGTTTTGAAAAAAGTCACACCCTTTGTTGAGGGTTTATATTTAATCCAGGTGCAAATACTTTCTCCAACTGAAACTGATGGTGCCTTTAAACAGCTTAGCCAAGACAGTTTTGCTTTCACAGCTTGGCATACATGTACCTTTCAATTATAAAGGCTGCAGCTATTTGGAAGACCTCATTTTATTAAGAAATGTTGTAGTTCTTATAGTTTTAAGAGTGCATAAGAACCCTGAAACTGAAAGAAGCTAAAAGGAAAAAAAAATAATCCTTTCTGCTTTTTAGTGTGTTCACTTTTTTAACTGTTACTGTGTTGTGTAAAATCATTATTCCTATTTATCCTGTGGTCAGTTTGTCTCTTAAAAGAAAGATCCTTGTAGGCTCTAGTGATGAAGTAAAAGTTGTATGTAATTTTCTAAAGAATATGCATTAGGACTGTGTGAAGATTTTGAATTGAAAAACAACCAGCATAAAAAGTCATGTTGGGCAGTATTCCTTGGAAGGAGGAGAACACAGCAATTTGCAGTTGAAATATTTTATTTGCAGCACTGTTTGTGCATTTCACTCTTTTTTGTTAATGCACCTCAGGCTTTATGCCTCTTCATGCCAGATATGAACAGACTTCTCTTTGTGTCTTACAAGCAGGTATTTAGCTCATTTCAGTGAGGTAGATGCTTAGAAGTTGCGGAACTATTTGCATGAGTTACATTGTTCTGATGTGCGTGAATTTGTTTTAGCAGATTTCTCATTTGCATTTATGTGGAACATAGACAATTTTGCTCGAGTCTAGGTATGGGAGAGAGATCAGTGTGGTGATTTCAGCTGTTTTTGTTAGGCCTACATGGATACATTGCAAACTCAGTGGAGCTGGATTCTTCAAATCACCAAATGTATTGATGTTCATCTGAAAGAGAATGCAGCTTACTTTCAGGTGAGTAGTGATGTGGAGAATTCACATTACTTTTGTTAAAAGTGTGAATCCCATCACAGATATATTTATTGTGCCTAAGACACTGTTGCATGTTATAAATGCTACCATTCTGCCAGAGATGAACTGAGATTTCTCATTAAAGGAGTCGATCAATTTTTAGCAAATATTTTTAAGAGCCATGTGCAAACGAATTCACAACTATTCTTCTGTAGTTCTTTGAAGAGGCCCAAGCCACAGAGTGCTACCTGAAAAACTTACAAGACTCCATCAGAAAGAAGTTCATCTGTGATAAGAGCATGTCACTGCAGTCTTTGCTGGAGCAGATCAAGGAGCTGGAGGTACTGTCACACTTGCCTGACAGGTTATGTTCTGTTTTTCTTTTCAAATCAGCTGCCCTTTTCAGATACCAAATGTAAACCCAGGTGCACTGCAATATTTATGTACAGTACTCTATGAACTTGAAACCATTATGGTATATTCCTGCACACTTCACAGAATCGCAGGGTATGCTGAGTTGGAAGGGACCCACAAGGATCATCAAGTCAGGAAGCCTACAAATGGACCAGTGTTGTTTTAACTTGTGTAATACTGTTTGGGAATTCTGATTTCTTTTTAAACCTGTAAAGAGTCCACCAAATTCCCAAGTTTCTGACATACTAGCAAATTTAAAAAAATGAAATACTTTTTTCTTAGATGGTAGAATAGATTTTACTTCAAAGGATAAGTACATTCAATAAATGATTCTTCATGTCACTGTATCACTCTCGTGTCTTTGAAAGGACATAGCTCAGCTTTTTAGCTGTTTGCTTATCATGAATTAAGCACTCTAATCCCAAACTGAAGAATGGTCAGTGATGTAAAAGGCCAATTGATGAAGTCAGGTTTAAGAGTGTAGTTATTATATTTTGTTTGGTTGGCAATGATTTTGTTAGATTCTTTCAATTTAGGCCTGTGTTTCTTAAACATCACTGTAACCACATTGCAGATCTGTATGGAAAACCTGCTATGAAAATTTTGAGAACTTTGCATCTTGCCAGAACTGCAAAGTTACCTAATTTGATGTTTCTCTTTTATTTTTAAAACTGCAGTTTTACATTATAGGCCAAAGACTCGTCCCACTAGAGCTAATGTAAGTTTTGCCTACTGTAAGCTCGAGATGAATCCCTCTCTTAATAAAACAGTGAAAACTAGATGACATTTCTTTTTAGAATGATTTTGTAATATACAATTAATTTTTACAGAATGAACGAGAGAGAATTCTTGAATATAAGAGGCAAGTGCAGAGTTTGGTGAACAAATCCAAGAAGATTGTGCAGCTGAAGCCACGTAACCCAGACTACCGGAGTAACAAGCCCATTATCCTCAAGGCTCTGTGTGACTACAAACAGGATCTGGTACTGTATCCCTTTTTGGCTGAGAACAAACATCACATAAACTAGAACATGGCAAGTTAGTTAGTAAATAAGCTGTTGACATGATAGGTATAATCCCTTTGTCTGCTTTTGGTCCGCTTAAATTTCTTCAACAGAAAAAGCTCTTACTTTTCTTGCCATTATGAATAAACAAGCTAGGTTCTAAGTTGCAATTACTAATATTAGTCTGTTAAATATCATTAATACACACATTTCAAATTAGCACATAAAAGTCTTGTTGATAATAGGATTAGAATTGTTGACACAGGTCTTCCCAGCGTCTACACTTTTTTTTGGTGACTGTTCACCTTTCCAGTGTCTCTCTGGATCCTTAGGTGAACATTTCATGTAACAAAAGGTGAGGAATGTACCTTGGTACATTGGTATCCCCATTTTTTTTGGTGGATAGAGTATGAAATGAGCGATGTTTTTGATTCCTCCTCCATACTGAGGCTGCTTGGGTTTATTTCTGTTTGTGGTTTTTTTTTTTTTTTTTCCTAACAATAGGCTTAGATGGGTTTTCTGCATCCATGATTTTTCCTGCTCCATGACCACACCCATGGCTGCACTGTGTCAGGATCTCTGGCAGTTGGGGCTGGTGAATCTAGCTCTGCCACACTCACTCCCAGTCTCTTTGCAAATATGGATGCAGCACTATGTATCCTTAGGCCTTGGGCTCACTGGCTTACAGCCATACACGTTGCATAGCTTACCATGGCCATGTGTCCACATTCAGTCTTTGATGTTTGTCAGGGCAAGCTCCAAGTCTGATGATGAACCAGACTGGCAACTGCTCAGTGTTCTGTGGCTCCTGCTTGCTTTTTTTTTTTTTTTTCTGTTTTCTTCATATGGCAACCAGATTCAGAGTGAAGTGGCTGATCTGTGCTGATCTCTTGCCTCAGTATGAAGCCAACATACACACCTAGACCTGGCAACTGGGAAGCACTCCTGCTTCTGTGATTCGCATGCATCTTCCTTGTCTGTCTCTCCTAGAACCCCCATTTTACTTAATTAAAGAAAAAAATTGTTATGCATTTCCTTACAGAAAACAGTGCGCAAAGGAGATGAATGTATCCTGAAGGACAATAATGAGCGCAGCAAGTGGCTGGTGACTGGCCCTGGAGGAGTGGATATGCTGGTGCCATCTGTCAGTCTTATCATCCCACCCCCCAATCCATTAGCAGTCGATCTTGCTACAAAGTGAGTTGCTGCCTGCGCTTGAACGCCTGCCGCTGGGGTTAGATAGAGGAGCTCACTCAAAATAGCAATCACTCACAAAATATGATCTGTGCCTTGATCAGAGTTCACTCCCCATGCCCCTAAGGGTGGAGGATTAAGGACTAGACCATTGACTTGAAGGTCACACTTCAGTGAATCTTGCTGGAATCTAAGTTGGGGTCTAAAAATATTTAAACATTAGCTTCTACAAGGCTTTTCTTACGTCTAATAATGAAACTCATGGATAAATTAATTTCCAAGATTTTTTTCAAGTAGGAAACAAGCCTTAATGCACTCCACATCTGGTGGATGTTTCTTGGGATGTTTTGTAGCTGTGCTACAGGGACAGATGCATTTTGATCATGCATTTTCTTTTCTCATGTCAGAATTGAGCAATACTACGAAGCTATTTTAGCTTTGTGGAACCAACTGTATATCAACATGAAGAGCCTGGTGTCTTGGCACTATTGCATGATCGACATTGAGAAGATCAGAGCGATGACTATTGCCAAGGTAAGACCCCAGCTGACCCTACCTGCAGACCAGAGACATCCATGGCCTGATGTCTACTGTCCCAAACAAAGCTTTCGGTATCCTGTGCAGATATATGTTCTGCAAAACCATGGGCCTTCCTTTTGCTGGGTTGCATGAACAATTACGTATGGAATTTGTGATTTTATTAAAGGAGAAGCAAAATGATATCCTACTCAAACATGATATGGATAAACAGGAAGATAAGCTAAGGGAGTTTATTATATACTTGCTGTACTTGTTCCCACTGTGCAAGTGCATGCATAGACAGAGTAAGAGGTAGATTTTCAAACTATCTTAAGTTATGAAATGATTGTAACAAGAATAGATTAGCTCAGCAGGTACTCTTAACACCATACTTTTAGAGTCAGCCTGGGTAGGTTTTATTCTAGCAATTACTTTGTGTTTTTTCTATGTGTATTAGTTTATTCTTTATTGACTAACTAGTCATAAACCTTCACCAGTAGCTTTTCTTTTTATTTTATTTTATTTTATTTTTAAAATCCCTTCTTCCTTATTTCAGCTGAAAACAATGCGTAAGGAAGATTACCAGAAAATAATAACTGACCTGGAGATCCATTATCAAGAGTTCCTCAGGAATAGCCAAGGCTCAGAGATGTTTGGTGATGAAGACAAACGAAAGATCCAGACCCAGTTCACTGATGCTCAGAAGCACTACCAAACCTTGATTATACAACTGCCTAATCAACCACGACAGCCACAAACAGGTTTGTCATCCTCCTGGTTTTTGAAGAGTTTAGACTGCTTGGGTTTCGTTGTTCTAGGAGTTGTGCATGATACATTCTTTTTAGGTGAAAATGTTCTCTTGAACAAATTAATTGAAACTTGTTCAACAACTGTTCTGCTGTCTCCCAACGTAAAAAATTTGGCCATGTGCAGGGAAGATTTTGTTCTTTCCTCCAAAGTTCATGGAACTTGCTGGGAAAATGAGAGGAATTTAGTCCCTTTGATATGTTTTCAGTTATTATGAAGCTATGTTTGGGGAAGCAAGTTTGTCTTTTGTGAAAAAACTGCATAAGGACCCAGATCTTCTGCCTGTTCTCAGTTCTACAGATTAACTCAGTGCTGAGATCACTTGGGCACAACACTGGCTTCCTCTGTGTGTGTGCTCAGTCCTCTGGCAGTTGACATTTACTCAATTCCCTTTGCAGTGGTCCCAACTGAGTCCTGTCCTGTGGGTTCCTCAAACACCGTTATCATTAATGAGAGAAACCGAGAGCATGAGAAGCAGGAGGCCTGGCTGCTGATGGAGCTTCAGAAACTTCGGCGTCAGATTGAAGCTTCTGAGATTCAGATGGTTCAAAGAGCTCCTCTGGGAGTGGATCAAGGGGCTATGCATGACTTTTCAGTCAGAATAAAGGATTTAGAGGTAATTTTGGATATTTTTCTTGGAGCATCTCAAGCTCGGTATGACTCTGTGTGGCAGAGCATACTGCAGTTCTGCTTCTGATCAGTTGGGAAAGACACACGTCTTGTGCAGAAAAGTCTCAGTTGGAAAATAACCATGATGATTTGGATTGGAGTTTAGCTTCTAAGTAGAAAAAGTTGATTCTTGAATTTTAGAAGTCACATTCTGCCCAGTAAAAAATACAGGAAGACTGATCTCAAGTGGCATGAGCTTGTGCTAAGCCTCATCCAGGGTAGAGCACTGTTAAAATCCTTTTCCAAGGACCCCGTTTTACTACCTACCTATGAAGTGCTGTCTGTGGACACAGACTGGATATATGAGTCCTACAGACTCTCCCCCTCTCCTAGTTCTTAAGATTTATAGGAGACTGGAGAGAGAATATTATTAAGAGAGGAGAACAGGTTTAGTATGTGAGAAATTCCCCTGAATCAATGAGGTCGCAAAGGTACTAAGAGCAGAAGGACCTTGGCATGTCTACCAAGTGCAGTAGGCAGCTGGCAGTAAAGCACTTTGCTTTCAACAGAGATGAGTTTCAGAGCAGAGGGGCTCAAAAAGAGGTATTACCTATGGCAGACTGTCAAAAAAGAAACTGCTCAATATTACTTGCCTTGAAGAAAGCAAGCTCAGTCACTGCTTCAGTCCTCAGTCAAGCTGGTTATATAACAGTAGACTATTCGTATAAGGAGACCAATTCCATATGAGCTGTGGAATGATCAGCCAACCAAAAATGTGTAAACCAGGCATTTTCTTTCCTTAGGGTGTGCAGAATGACTCTCAAATAATGGCTGAAACCCTCAATAAGCATAAGGACTTGCTGCCTAACTTCAGAGGCTCTGAAAAATATGTGTACTTGCAATCAGAGATAAATGCTCTATTTCAGAAGCTGGAAAATATTAATGGTGTTTCTGCTGGCTACTTAGACAGGTAAGAAAATTGATGTTGTAGCCATAAATATTCACTTTCTCCTATAATTCTTAGTCCAGATACCTGCCTTTTGTTGACAGTAGTGTAAAATTGCACCTTCTTCTCTATAAATTCTGTACATGTGGGTAGAAACAGACACGTGAATTTCTTCTCTTTTCTGGAATACTTTACAAAAAGAAAGTGTGAATCATGGGTATCACAGAAAATTCTTGTGCTACCTGTTCTTTTAACTAATCATCTGCAATTAGAAATATCACCTTTCCTTTCCCAGACCGCAATGGATTTGTCTTGTATTTTTTATTTTAGCTTGAATGCACTGAGGTGTCTGCTCCAGGTTATTCTACAAACAGAAGACGTGATCAGAGTTTTTGAAGTCAGGCTGTCTGAAGAAGAGACTATTCCTTTGGATCTTGATAAAGTAGAGGCTTATCGGGCTTGTCTGAAGGTGAGGGGCCAAGACCCAAGGCCATGGAAAGACAAAATTCGTAGCTGCTAGCACTGGTCTATTAAGCTGGGTGAAACCCTTGAAAACCACAGGAGATAGAATTGCTGATCTTGTTGTATTTTACGCATAGGCATACAATGCTTTTGTAAATCAGGCACAGTGCCACTGGATGGTCGAGGGAGGTGATTGTCCCACTCTACTTTGTGGTGGTGTGACCTCAGCTTGAGCACTGTTTTGAGTGTAGTTTTGGGGACCACAATATAAGAAAGATACAAAGCTAATAGAAAGCAACCAGAGGAGGGCTGTGAAGGTGATGAAGGGTCTAGAGGAGATGCCACAGAAGAAGCAGCTGAGGTCACTTGGTCTATTCAGCCTGGAGAAGAGGAGATTGATGGGAGATCTTCTTGCAATTTACAACTTCTTCAGAAAAAGAAGTGGAGGGTCAGGGACTGATCACTTCTCTCTGGTGACCAGTGATAGGACCCAAGGGAATAGCATGAAAGTGCCAGGGAAGGTTTAGTTTAGTTATTAGGAAACAGTTCTTCATTCAGAAGTTGGCTGGGCACAGGAAAAGGCTCCCCAGGGAAGTGGTCATAACACCAAGCCTGGCAGAGTTCAAGAAGTATTTGGACAACCCTCTCAGGCACATGGTGTGATTCCTGGGGCTGTCCTGTGCAGGGCCAGGATTGGACTTCAACGGTTCTTGTAGGTTCCTTCCAACTCATGATATTTTATAATTCTATTAAATTATTGAAAGGAATATATGGGTTATTATTTCTTCCATCCGCTGGTTGTTGCTGCCCCCACAGCAAAGGCAGTTGCATGAAAGGTTTCCATACAGCATTATCTGTGTTTATTTGTATCACTCTTGAAGGTAGATTTGAAGGCAGTATCTCCTTTCTTGCAAACAGGCTTGTTAATTGCCCTTGTTGTCCTCTAGTTGTAACACGTAAATTTGAGTATTGTTGTGTGTCTTAGCTTTGGTTAGGGTCTGTGTCAAACCTTACAGTGAAAACTATCCGTCCTCTACAAGGGGAGAAAGCAAATAACTGTGCTGAGCAAAAAGTTGGCTTGCAGATCCAGTCTTTTTCTGCCATTGAGCTGGACCTTTTTGCTGGACTGAGTGCATTTGTGAAAACAAGGACTGTTTCACTGTTTCCTGTTCTTAGGTGTAGTAGGGAAAAAGTGTGTAGGTGTCACAAATGCAGTACAAGCAAGTCACCTTTTTATCATTTTAAATGAGAGCTGCAGTTCAGTTGCTGGGAGTTGTTCTTAACTAGTGTAAATTTGAACTACACACACAAAAAAATAAATAAAATAATGCTTGAGCATATTATCAAAGGCTGTAGCCATCCCTGTGACTGGGGGATGCAAGGCAGACCACTGCCTACACTATATATTCCATTTGGTGATACCCTACAGTATGTGAGTATGTGTGTACAAACAAGTGTGTGTTAAAGAAACATCTCCATGTAAGATGTTTATAAAAAATGTAAAGAGGAAAAAAAAAAATCTGTGGCAATTTTTCCATGTTTAAAAACTGGATATGCCAGTCTTGAGGCTTGATTCCACAGCTGTTGCAAATGCAGGGATTTTTTGTACTTTGCTGAAATTTTCTAGGCAGTTGTTTCTAGGAACAAGCAAAGCTCTTGTTCTGCTCTGGTAACTGCTCTGCATAGTTCTGAGAAACTGAAACGTTCTCTTCAGAATATGACCACAGAGGGCTTTGGTTTAGCAAATTATTTAAAGTCTAACTTTAAACAGATTTTTAAACCAAAGTGTTCATCAGAGTAGGTGTTTCACTTTAAATATATTAAGTCCAGCTGACATCACTATACATACCTTACTGATTTAGAAACAATATCTTTAGATCCCAACACATTGTGCATGCTATTAAATTGGTTAAATTTCAGTATCTTCTCAAGAATAAAATATATGATAGCATTTTGTTTCTTTCTCCAGAAAATGAAAGCAGACCTAAATATGAAGAAGTCACTACTGAATACCTTGGAAAATGAGCTGCAGAGAACACTTCAGATTCACTCACAGTCTTGCCAGTCATATACTCTGTATGACATGGACATTGGAAAGTACTGTGACAAAGTTACCCAGCTAATAGACCGCTGGCAGAGAGCTGATAAGCAGATAGATAACAGGTTTGTTCATATTTCCACAGCTTTTTTCTTATTGCTATTGCTACTAAGATCATCTTAACACTGAGTCTAAAAGAACTGATGTGCAATAATCTTCACTTCCAAAGGACACATGGTGACTTCAGATCAATAAGACTTAAGCAACTGTGAATAGGTTGAACATACTTAAAAAGGATTGTGTGAGTCCAAGCAGAAAAATGTAGGTAGCCATGTAAATGTCTAACTTATGTGCTAAGGAGCTGTTGTCATTTTCTTTTTTGTTTTAATTCTTGATAATGTCCTTGGATTAAGTACTTCCGATCAGCAGTTTCCCTCTCAAACTATTTGTGGCTGCAGGTAAGGTATGGTTAGGTTCGATTTATTTTGTTTTTACTTGAGGACAAAATGTAGTCCTAATAATAAAAATGGACTGGTTGCTGGTTGTTCAGTGAAAATTTAGAACAAGAATGCTGAAGTCAGTGAACTTGATTCTTGTCACAGCAAGGTTTTATCCATCCCTCACTTAACTGACAGGAAGGCCCAACCTCTGCATTGCAGAGTTAATCAAAAGTAAGGCACTAAAAAACCATATTGGGTGACTAATAACCAGTACAATTCTCAGGTTTAGTATATGAGAAATTTATTTGAAATTTTTCTTCAGAATCTCCTATTCAGAGCTTCCCATAGTTTTACATGGTTTACTACTGTGTCTCATTTCTGAAAACTGTGCGAAGAGAGAGAAGGAGAATGCACTTTGACATTCATTTTGACAGGTTTTTTCCCTTTTTTTTTTCTAGATCGTGGGATTTAGAAAGGCAGATCAAACAGCTGAAAACTTACCGAGATCTCTACCAGGCTCTGTGCAAATGGATCTGTGATGCCAAGCGCCGGCAGGATTCTATTGAGTCCATGAAGCTGTGCGATTCCAACACTATCATGAGATATCTACATGATCAGAAGGTATGCAGCACCTGAACAAGTTGTCTTTGGTTATCTGTTTTGCTGTACAGAAACTATCAGTATCAATGCAGTCTGCAATACAATGGTCTGTTTTGAATTATAAAATACATAAGCTACTGAAACCCACCATGTGTAGAAGACAGGGGAGAGGAAATATTATTACCCTCATTACTTTCTGTCAGCACTGCTACAGATTATGAACAAGACTGTTTTTGGCTCCTACATGTTCACTGACACTTCTACACATCAGCTTTGAATTAATTCAAGGGACTGTAAGATGATGCAATTTATGGGACAAATTACAGCACAAAAATGAAAAATGAGGAAATAATCTGAATTAAAGTCAAGGAATTCTCCCTCCCCAGCTCTGGGGTATGTTCAGTTTTTGGGTGTTCTTTCTGAGAACAACCTTCTCATGCCCATCTACAGGTCATTTCAGGTCTCAGCCCCAGGAGTTGCAGTAGTCTCCTGCTACAGGTGCTTTCTGATGGAGGCAGCATGTACAAGAGGAAATACTGGTAAATCTTGAGGGAGTGTTTCATGGCTCACTTTTCTCTTGACAGAACTTGCACAGTGAAATCTGTGGGAAGCGAGACAAAGTTGAGGAGCTTCTCAAGCATGCAGATCAGTGCTCAGCTGCAATTAAGGTACTTGGATCTCAGCATTTTTGTGGGGTGTGGTTTTTCACGGTCAGGCGCATTTCATTGTCTCTGCTCTGCTGACGGGTGAAAAGTTGGCTGCCTGATGTGTGTGTACAGAAATTGCTGGGGTAAAGCACTTCTGTGTATAAAATAAAATGAAAGCAATTTTTTAGTTGCCACCTGAAGACTATGGGATCACACAGCAGGTACCAGTGAGAGCTTCTCTTTAGGTGAAGCAAAGCCTCCTTCTTGCCAGACCAAACTTTCCAGTTCACATATTAAAAAATATAAGGGAGTGAAGAACAGATTGGTATCTTATGAATTCGGTCTGACTAGGATCTGATCTAGGAGGAAAGACAAATGCAGGTTAGCAGGAGGAATGGTGTGCAATAGCCACGCAAACCAATAACGTATGGAGGGAGTGGTTTTGTGGTCCTTGCATTTTTATGTCATCTTTATATCCGTGCCTTCTGCAGCTCAGTCTTACTCTCTGTGACAAAGATCTTGCTATATATGTGATGTGGCATGTGTGATACAAAAGAGATGGAGAGACAGTTATTTCTGATGAAGTTTTGGCTGATAACAGTGCTTAGAGTAGTTGCTCCCATGAATCTTTCTCACTCACACGTAGCCCTCAAATAACAGAAACATTTGTCTTTTTTGTAAACCATTTTTTCTCTTTTTCCCTTGTCACTCTCCCCTATGAATCTCCACAGTGGCACTTGACCTGATGAGCTTCTGTTTATGACAGAGGATCATCTGTACATGGCCAGAAATATAAAAAAGGGGAAAATGTAGCTTTTATTAAGAAAACAAAACCAGAAACCCCAAAACTTTGTATTTTCTGAAGTACAGACTCCCACAGTATTCCTTGGCACTTACTGAAGAGGGCTTATTTTCATCTTGTTTTTCAGGACTATGAACTACAGGTTGCTTCCTATAGTTCGGGATTAGAAACGTTGCTCAACATACCTATCAAGAAGAGTGTGGTTCAGTCTCCTGCAGTGCTGATTCTACAAGAGGTATCTTTCCTTCCTCCCCACCAATCTTTTGAATACATTTGTTTGTCCATGCAAGCCATTCTGAGTCATATCCAGCTGTATTCTAATAATTAGCACTGTCATTGGCAATGTGCGCTAAGGACGTAAGCATAAGGAATTAGTGCAGAATAGTCTCTGTGCTGTAAAACCAGACTTGGGCTTGTTTAGACAAGTAGATTAGCCCTCAGGAATTTACCTCATTCCTATTCAATGTCCATTGCATGCATATTGTGAGAAAGGAAGATCTGTGCCCCAAGTGGTTTAGTCACTTTCAACCTGGGAACTAACTACTATAAAAAATTTAACTGAGGTTACTCGTGTCAGACAGGAAGAGCATGATGAACCAGGGGATGAAGGCTTGGATTAATTATCACATCAGCCATGGGGGGAAACAATCTTGAAAAAGAAAAGTGTGGGTTTATCAGAAGGAAAAATTTATACATTTGGGGTCCTCAGAAAGTCATGTGAATTTGTGAGGAGAATTTGCTTTTCACTTTGTCAAGTGATACGTTTCCTCAAGTGGATTGGAATCCTGTAAATGATCTGGGCATAGGTATATTCATATCTAACTCTGTGGTACAAGCTGCTAACAATTCTCTTTCTTTTCAAGGCTAACGAGGCTCAGTCTCGTTATATAGAGCTTCTTACAAGATCAGGAGATTATTACAGATTCTTGAGTGAAATGTTAAAGAGTATGGAGGACTTAAAGGTATTGTAATCCTTTTATTTTCTTTACCTTTTATTTCTATCATAAATGAGCAAACCATCACTGATCAGAGACAGAACACACAGTGTAAAGTAGTGCACAAAACTATATCCTGAACTCAGAGGTGTCCTACAAAGGGAACATGCATCTTCTGTAAAAGAGTACAGTGTCTTACAAAATTACCTCCAAGGTCATATAGGAGGTGAGGTGGAGAGCACTGCCTTTCTTGGTAAATAGGAGGTGCTTATCAAAGTATGCAAGACATCCTTCTCTGCCCATCCCAGCCTTGATCTCAGTGAGAGTACGATCACCTCAGCGCTGAAAACTTGCTTCTCACAGTTAAAGGCACCTCATTTCAGGCCATATTCTAAAGTGTTTTAAAAGGAGCAACTCCTGCTTTGATACAGCTCAGTGAAACAGAGAGGCCCATTTAAGAAGTTGCATATACAGAATGTCATGCCCCTGTCTGAAAATCGTGGAGATTCTAAAGGCGACTATTTCACACTTCACTGGTGAACTTTTGGTACAACAGATTTTACTGTCTGTATTGCATCTCCCTCCCCTCATGAAGTATTATGTCCCCTCTGAAAGTCACTGTGCTGATTTCTGAATAAGGTTTGACTCTGAGTAAATAAGGATTCCAGAATTTGTCTTGATGACATTAAATAAAAAAGGATTTGTAGCTGTCTTTGAAGTAGCGAAAAAAAAAATACTTTCAAGTTGTCAGTGTTACAAATACGTATTGTATATTGTATTGCATGTGATGATTTTGCAACAGTTGTCACAAGCATTTATGTGAGTTTTTCTGTTTGTCTTTCTGCTATCATGTTGCAGATGAAAAACACCAAAATTGAACTCCTGGAAGAAGAACTCAGGCTTGCTAGGGATTCAAATTCAGAGACAAGCAACAAACATAAATTCCTGGAGCAAAATCTGCAGAAGTACCAGATGGATATTTCTCAGCTCAAGGCAAAGCTGATGAGTTTGGAGGAGATGAAAAGACAAGCTGAAATGGATGGAAATTCTGCTAAGCAAAACCTAGACAAATGCTATGCCCAAATAAAGGATCTAAATGACAGAATAACCAGGTTGACTTATGAGATTGAAGATGAGAAAAGGAAAAGGAAGTTGCTGGAGGATAGATATGAGCAGCAGAAGAATGACTATGACCAGCTGCAAAAAACAAGACAAAATGAGAAAGACAGCCTTGGCTGGCAAAAGTTAGAGTCTGAGAAGGTCATCAAGGAGAAGGAGTACGAGATAGAAAGATTAAGGGTTCTTCTTCAGGACGAAGGCACACGGAAGAGGGAATATGAAAATGAGCTGGCTAAGGTAAGAAACCAGTTTAGCGAGGAGATGAGTAATTTAAAGAACAAGTATGAAACAGAAATTAATATTAAGAAGACCACAATCCAGCAGATAGCTGCACAGAAAGATGATGATGCCAAAGGCCTCAGAGCCCAGGTTGACAGACTGACAAGAGAAAACAGAGACCTTAAGGATGAGATTGTGAGGCTGAATGATGCCATTCTGCAAACGACAGATCAACGGCGCAGGGCAGAAGAAGATGCTCTTCAGCAGAAGGCTTGCAGTTCTGAGGTGTCACAGCAAAAGCATCAGTTAGAGCTGGAGCTGAAACAGATCATTCAGCTTCGTGGCGAAGATAACTCAAGATACAAGCAGGCTCTTGAGGAGGCTGCCTCAACTATTCAGGATAAAACTAAGGAGCTGGAAAGGCTAAAGCTTCAGCTTCAGGAAGAGGCTAAAAGCCGATGGGAACTTGAAAATGAATTGGCTAAGGTAAGAAACAGTTATGATGAGGAAATTATTAGTTTAAAGAACAAATATGAAACTGAGATTAATATCACAAAGAACACAATTCACCAGGTCACCATGCAAAAGGAAGAGGAGACAAATAATTATAGAACACAGCTTGATAATGCCATGAGAGAAAATAGGAATTTGTGTGAGGAAATTAGGAGACTGAAGAATACAATAAGTCAGACAACAGATAATCTACGGAAAATAGAAGAGAATGCTCAGCAGCAGAAGGCAGCTGGCTCAGAGCTTTCTCAGAAGAAACAGCAGCTGGAGATTGAGCTAAAACAAGTTATTCAGAGGCATTCTGATGAAAGCATGCGGTACAAGCAGTCACTTGATGATGCTTCTAAGACCATTAAGGAAAGAAACAAGGAGATTGAAAGGCTGAGAAAGTTGTTGGATGTAGAAACAAGTCAGAGGAAAGAAGTGGAGGATGAGAACAGTCAGTTAAAAAGAGTCCAGTTTGACCTGCAGAAAGCAAACACAAGTGCTACTGAGACAATTAGCAAGCTGAGGATCCAAGAGCAGGAACTGGCCAGACTGAAAATTGACTATGAAAGAGTTTCACAGGAGAAAAAAGGCAGGGATCAAGAAAGTGCAAAGTTCCAGAGCACTGTGAAAGACTTGCAGATCCAGAAACATAAGCTGGAGGAGGAACTTTGCAGACAGAATAAAAATTTAATGGAGGAGACGTCCAGGAGGAAGAAACTAGAGGAGGAAATAGAAGGCATGAGGAGATCTCTCAGAGACCAATCAGTTAAAATAACTAATCTCACACAGCAGATAGAGGAAGTATCTATTGTAAAGAAGAGAAATGAAGATGACCTTAGACACCAAAGAGAAGTATTAGATGGTCATGTGAGAGAGAAGCAAAGATACATGGAGGAGATAAGAAAATACACATCCGATATTGAGACTTTACGTCGTCAGTTGGTCCAAGAACAAGAGCAATTGAAACAAGCTCACCTACGATATGAGCACTTACAGAAAACCTCTGAGGAAAAAAGCAAAGCCTTGAATGAGTGCAAAATAGAAATTGAAAGGCTTCAATCTCTCACCGAGAACCTAACGAAGGAACACTTGTTACTGGAGGAAGAGCTGCGAAATGTTAGATTGGAGTACGATGATCTCAGAATGGTCAGAAATGAAGTTGATGAGAAAAATACCACCATTGCTGAACTAAAGAATCAGCTTCAAATGAGCAGCAAGCAAACCCTGGAACTTCAGGGGTTGATTAATGATTTACAGAAAGAAAGGGAAAAATTGAGACAGGAAATTGAAAAATTCCAAAAGCAAGCTCTAGAGGTATTCAAATATATTTTGATCCCAGCTTTACTGTCTGTCAGATATATAATTAATTGCAGTGTCCATTTGAACAAATTAATTCACCCTTTGCTGTTTAAAGTCACTGCACTTGTGACTAACATTCCCTTTATGACTTTCTCTTATTAATTTTTAAATAAAAGTGGCAGTATTTGGCCGCTTCCTTAGCCTCTTTACTCCCTGGAAGTTCTAGGGATCCATAAGCTGTCTTATCATCTAGCCAAGCCTTGCCTTCAGCCCTTGCCTCAGGAGAAACATGGGCTTCGTGCCAGTCTCCACCTAACCATCCTAGGGGAAGATGAGAGTACATGGAGTACCACTGTGCTTTAATGGTCCCCTGCTGGCTGTGCGCCTCCCTGGGCTGTTTCAGCCAGGATGGTTTAAAGTGGTCCTTTGAGGCTGACCTGAGTGCTGTCACAAACTAAACTGGCTAATAACCCCAGAACCAACAAGCTTTCAAAGTGCTGCTTAGCTGGTTAAGGTGGTGACTACAAGTGAGGATTAAAGATCACGTTGTCAGCTGTACCTAAAGTACTTAAAGTACTTTCATTGACTGTTTTGGGGATTTATGTTCCTAAGTCACCAAAGGCATTTGCAAATTTTACTACTGGCCCTTATTTCTTAACCTCTAGGTGACAACATATACAAGTTAAAGAAAACATTTTTTCATATTTTATTCTGCGTGGTTTCTTGTTCAAAGAGGTACTCTTTAAATATATACAAGTGAGCACGTGTGAAAATGTTTCTTTGTTTTTTTCCTATATTTCCCCCTTTTCTCATTCCCATTCTCAGTTATTCTTTCCTTTATTCAGTTATTCTTTCCTTTATTCAGTTTTTCTTTCCTTTATTTTAAAAATCTTAATAATGGTTTCTAAAAAATACTAACATTTAGGATTATATAACATCTGTGCATATATATATGTATATATATATGCATGTGTTACAAATAGATAAACTTGTGTTCAGTTTAATGTGGACTGCATACAAATATGCATGCTTATGGGTGTTTGTGTGTGGGTGTACAGATATGAAGACATGCGAATTAAAATGTAAAGCAACACAGGTAAAGTTGTTCAAAGTAACAGGAAAGCAAAAAGCAAGTAATATATTTCCTTTTTATCCATGTATGACCTGTCCTTAGCTGATAGAAATTCACCCAGGTTAGTAGGACTGCCCGGGAATGTCTCCTGAGCATCAGATTATTAGTTAGTCTTGAATGCAGTGTATTTGTTGGGGTACTGTGAGTAGGATCAAAAAGTTATAAAGAGAGAACTAAATCAGCAGAAAATCAAGGCTATGGATAACAGATTGGAGTCTCCAAGTCTCATGTGGTACTAGAGACACTGTCAGTGAAGGGATAATGTACCTTCTCTGGTTTAAGTGTATCTATGGTCTTGGGTAAGGAATTGCTGTGACTAGAATGTTTTCCAGCGGCAGCTTGCTGCAGGTTAAATGACAGGCTGAAGAGTATTGTAAATGGAGGGCATAACTCTAACCAGCATAAACTCTAACCATCCTTTCTTGGTTTATTTCTTCTTCACAACTGTAGGCATCCAATAGGATCCAAGAATCCAAAAATCAGTATAGTCACATTATGCAAGAAAGAGAAACCCTGCTGATAAAAATGAGCGCTTTGGAGCAAGACAAAGCCAGGCTGCAGAGATTAGAAGAGGAGCTGAACCGTTTGAAAGTTACCCTGGAATCAGAGTCACGTTTGAAGCAGCGCCTGGAAAGTGAGAAGCAACAAATACTGAATGACCTCAATCAATGGAAGAGCCAACACTCCCGAACAGAGGAATCAATAAGGAAGATCCAATGTGAAAGAGAGAAGAGTGAGAGGGAGAAGAATAGCCTGAGGAGTGAGATTGAAAGGCTGCAGATGGAAATCAAACGGATTGAGGAGAGATATCGGTGCAGACTGGAAGAGACTGCTGTCAAAAACCAGTCGGAGCTGGAGTCCGAGCGTCTCAGGCTGCAAAGAGAGATTGAGAAACTGAAGCAACGCCCATATGGTTCTCACAGATCTACACAGACAGAGGAAGACTTTTGTATTGATGCCTCCAAGCTGCTGTTCAGTGGGCTGCGGAAGAAGATTACAGCCATGCAGCTGTATGAGTGTCAGCTGATAGACAAACTCACGCTGGATAAACTGCTGAAGGGGCAGAGGTCAGTGGAAGAAGTCGCAGCTGACATTGAGCCCTACCTCAAAGGGGCAGGTGCTATTGCAGGGGTGTCACTTTCACCCAGACAGAAGTACTCATTCGTGGAGGCCAAACGGAACCAGCTGCTTACAGCAGAAAATGCAGTCCTGCTCTTAGAAGCCCAGGCAGCAACAGGAGGTGTGATAGACCCGCACCGGAATGAGATGTTAACCGTGGACAGTGCTATTGCCAGAGATCTGATCGACTTTGATGACAGAGAACAAATCTATACAGCAGAAAAGGCTATTACAGGATTTAAAGATCCTTTCTCAGGCAAAACCGTGCCAGTATCTGAAGCCATCAAGAAAAATTTGGTTGACAGAGAAACTGGGATTCGTCTGCTGGAAGCCCAGCTGGCTGTAGGAGGGATTGTTGATCCTGTCAACAGTGTTTTCCTACCCAAAGATATAGCTTTATCTCGTGGGTTGATTGACAAAGACCTGTACAGGTTGCTGAGCAACTGCCAAGGCAATGCAAAGAACTTCATTGATCCCACCACCAAAAAGGCAGTCACTTACATGCAGCTGAAGGAAAAATGCAGGATTGAACCACACACTGGTCTGCTCCTCCTTCCAGTGCAGAAGAGGAGTATGTCCTTCCAAGGGATCAGGCAGCCTGTCTCAGCAGATGCACTGCTTGAGGCTGGAATAATTAAGGAATCAACAAGGAACGACTTGGAAAGAGGTGCAATTACAGTGGAAGAAGTGAGCGAGAGAATTATTGATTTCCTTCAGGGCTCTAGCTGTATTGCTGGTATCTATAATGAGGCTACTAAAGAGAAACTTGGCATTTACCAGGCTATGAAAATAGGTTTGGTTAGGCCGGGGACAGCCCTTGAACTCCTAGAAGCCCAGGCAGCCACAGGGTTCATAGTGGATCCTGTCAGCAACGTGAGGCTGCCCGTTGAGGAAGCTTACAAAAGAGGCCTTGTTGGCATTGAATTTAAAGAGAAACTCCTCTCTGCTGAAAGAGCTGTCACTGGGTACAAAGACCCAGAAACTGGAAACATCATTTCTCTGTTCCAAGCAATGAACAAAGAGCTCATAGAGAGAGGCCATGGCATTCGTCTGCTGGAGGCCCAGATTGCTACTGGAGGAATCATTGACCCCAAAGAGAGCTACCGCTTGCCAGTAGAGACGGCCTACAAACGCGGCTACTTCAATGAAGAGCTCAACCAGATCCTTAGTGATCCAAGTGATGACACCAAAGGGTTCTTTGATCCCAACACAGAGGAAAACTTGACCTACTTGCAACTGAAAGAAAGATGCATAAAGGATGATGCAACAGGGCTCTGCCTTCTACCCCTGAGAGAGAAGAAGAAGGTGGTGCACACCTCACAGAAGAACACCCTTAGGAAGCGCAGGGTTGTCATTGTAGATCCAGAAACAAACAGGGAAATGTCCGTGCAAGAGGCGTACAGTAAAGGCCTCATTGATTATGACACCTATACAGAACTAGCTGAACAGGAGTGTGAGTGGGAAGAAATAACTATTACAGGATCAGATGGCAGCAGCAGAGTAGTCCTTGTTGACAGAAAAACAGGTAGCCAGTATGACATCCAAGATGCTATTGATAAAGGTCTGGTGGAGAGGAAGTTTTTTGACCAGTACCGTTCTGGCAGTTTAAGCCTGACGCAGTTTGCAGACATGATTTCCTGCCGTAACGGCACTGATGAGGTGTTCCGGCATGAGTCCGTGACTCGGTCTCCCACAGTGCTGAGTGTCAGGAGTTCTTCTTCGCTGATCAGGAGTGGTTCTTTCTCAGAGACCCCGGATGAGTGCAGCCCTATCGCAGCCATATTTGACACAGAAAACCTGGAGAAAATCTCCATTTCAGAAGCTATACAGCGGGGCATTGTGGATAGCATCACCGGGCAGCGGTTACTCGAAGCCCAGGCCTGCACAGGGGGCATAATATGCCCTACTACCGGCCAGAGGCTTTCGCTTCAGGAAGCCACTGCTCAAGGCATCATTGATCAGGATATGGCCACACGTCTCAAGCCAGCCCAGAAGGCCTTCATAGGGTTTGAAGGCATAAAGGGCGGACGGAAGAGGATGTCTGCAGCTGAAGCAGTGAAGGAAAAATGGCTGCCTTATGAGGCCGGGCAGCGGTTCCTTGAATTCCAGTACCTCACTGGAGGTCTTGTGGACCCAGAAGTGCGTGGAAGAATAAGTATTGAAGAAGCCATTAGAAACGGATTGATTGACGGTCGCGCTGCCCAGAAATTACAAGACACCAACAGCTATCCCAAAATTCTGACCTGCCCCAAGACCAAGCTGAAAATATCCTACAAAGATGCAATGAATCGGTCAATGGTGGAAGACATCACAGGGCTTAAACTCTTGGAAGCAGCCTCTGTTTCCTCTAAAGGCATATCCAGTCCCTACAATGTCTCCTCTGCACCCGGCTCTCGCTCTGGCTCTCGCTCTGGCTCACGTTCAGGCTCACGCAGTGGGTCTAGGAGGGGAAGCTTCGATGCATCATCAAGCTCTTCATATTCTTATTCATATTCAGCCTTCAGCAGTGGGTCTATTGGGCGCTAACAGGGGATGTGTCTGCATTTTATTGTCTTTTAGATTATTCTCTCACTCCTTTCCTAAAAGAAAAAAAAACATCAACAAAGTAACCCAAAGCAAAGCCTTGAACTTCTTCTTCTGAAAAAGCTGTAAAATGCTTGAATGCAAACTTGCAAATTAGGGAATGCAAAAGTAATATTTGTGAATTTTGAGTTTCAGTTCCATTTCCTTTTAGTGTTTGGATTTTAATAGGTCTCTGTATATTTTAAATACTGTGTTGTGTCTTTTCCTGTTATCCATAACTGTCAACCCATAAGGTGATAACTGAGGTTTGAAAGTCTTGCAGTAGTTAACTTTTTTCCCACATAGACCTTTTTCAATTTGCTATTATGAAGAAAAACATATTAACAACATGAACAGAAAATGCCCTTAATATTGGTTTAGAATCTATACCATAAACATGAAGCTGTCTTTCAGATGCTCTACTTCTTTATGTTTGGCTAGTCATTTTCTGAAGTATAGCTTGGTGAATATAAAGGGCTATTATTGGGCTGGGCTTTTGTTTTACTGTTACCCATATACCTTTTCTACTGTTTTGCTTGATTTCCCTGTAACGAAAAAAACAATAAAAAGTAAATGCACCATGTGACCTATTCTGGGCAATAAACTTCTGAAGTTTTAAAGTATTTGGTGTGTACTTATTAAGTTTATCTGTGGACATTCTTGAAAGTGCAGGTTAAAGAAAGAACTATTTTTAAAAGTAGCAAACACTATCTTTGTTGTACAGAATGTACAGGCACATTATTTTTCATGATGCCCAGCCATCACTTTTATGAATGTGGACTTCTGATTCTGAATTTTCTGTAGGAAAATGAAGATAGCACCAATAATGGAAACTATGACCCAGAAGCAGAAAGCCTGTTTCCGCAGTTGTTTATAGACTTGATGATGATGATGATGATCAGAAGCATATTTCTTCTGCTTGTGATCCAGTTCATTATCTCTGCAGCTAGAAGGGACTGAGTCAGATTCTCTTTACACATTGATGTAACTTGAGCAGAACAAAGAACTGGCTGGCTTAGCTGGCCAGTATGGTGGCACAGGAGCATCTTTCAAAACCTGAACAATCACCTCCTGTAATGTCCTTCCACCTCTTCTACTGGCTCCCAAAAGCCTAGGCTGAGAAAATAGCAATAGTATATCAGTGACATAGACATCATGCGATGTCTTATTGTCCTCACTTCTATTGTACTGCGGACAGCCTGCTGCTTCCTTTTATCAGAGCTGAGAAAGTTCTTCAGATGACAAACTAGAGCAGGACAAAATGATAACAGCGTTAGAGGACACAAAAATGATTTGAACCCGCTTCAGCTCTAATTAATGTTTCTTAGCCACTGTGGAAAATTACTTGTATATGTTGTTCTCTCCCCTTTAACACACAGTGCAGATACCTCCGGGTAAGCACTATGTTCTCAGCAGAGTGACTGATCACTTACAAGAATTTAGTATGGTTTTATACAACCACTAGTCCAGTGCTTTAATGACAAAACTATTAGTATAATTTGCTGGTAGCTGAAATAAATTTCTCCTTCAAGTAGTTTAAAGCACATACCTGCTTTTAGTCAAGTGCCATGTACATGCTCTATGAATTTTATCAGTTGCTTTAGATAGAAAGAAGCTGATGAGCATAAATGCTAGTCACTGTTAATGATGCTGCCTAATTTTTTTGTAGCACATTCCTTTTCTGCAGTAAGGAATAGAACAGGTTCTGATCCTGCTCTCTCTGGATAAAGTTTACCCTTTAGCCTGAGAAGCATTTTCAGTGTTTTCTGAAGATAAGAGCAGTGAATAAAATCTCTGCCATATATAAAGTATCCTCAGTCACTGGAGTAAGAAATTAAATGGACTGGTACAAGTCAGTGTTGGAGATCTCTATGGAAAGTAGGAGAGAAAGTGCCTCCTGTCTCCTAGGAAACTCCACAGCTTCAGAGAGTTCTCTCTACACCTGGGTTCATTAGCTGTATCATAAAGGAAGAATCAATGTCTAAATAGCTTTCTGACTGCTAGGGAGTCAGACCTGTTAAAAAAAAAAATCACTGTTTTATTTAATCCCAGTCTGCAGTTTTAAATGACTATGAGGTTCCTGCAGTCTACAGAAAAAGTAAAACTGGTTATTACTGACAGGAAGTCCACTGTTGGGTGCAAGCACTCCTGCAGTCTGCATGAGTTGAGAAATCCTGCATACTTCATAGCAGACTGGGCTTACGTTTTTTTGCTCAAGTCACTCCTGGCATCTCTTTTAGGTTGTTTAAAGCTCCATCCTTACATAATACCCACATTTCTTACTGCTCAATCAACCCTTTATTCTGTCATGGTGACTGAAATATGAATTAATCTCACAGAAATTATGATAGTGTTTTTCCCTTGAATATGCTCCAGCAGCAGCTGCTTGTGTGGCATTAGTGGTGACTTTACACAGCCAGAGAAGCAGGAGACTCAGGTGCCCAGGGCCTGAGTAGCAGCTGAGCCAGAGTAGGCAGCAGGTGGGGCAGGACAATGCTGGAGTGGGATGCTAAAGAGATAAGTTGAGAGTTTTCCTCCACCATAAAGTGATGCTGAGGAAGGAGTTTTGGAAGAATCTCTCATTTTCAGAGCTGAAGTTTGGCACTTGCAACTCTGTGGATAGGTCTGGCAGACAGAAGCATGACAGGTGAGCACACCAAGGGGACCAGTGTTGCAGAGCGGAGAAAACTCTGTTTGTCTCCTCACTGCTCAGCATTTCTGAGATAGGAGAACCTTGCCTAGGGTTTGAAGAGCAAGCAGGCTGTGGTTTGTTATGGTGTGATGTAGCTGGAGCACAGAGATGAGTGTGGGGCTGCTGCTGTGGATTTGGAGCTGGGTGTTCTTAGAATCTGTTGCTGTTTTGCACTGAAGGTGGAATGAACTCTATTCATGGCTTTTAAAAAGAAGGACTGGCAACTTTGCATGATGTCTGCTGCTGAGACAGTAATTCCTCAGTATTGAAAAGCCTGGATGAACTTGTTTGTCCAGCCTGTAGCAGTGAGTGTTTCCCTGTGCTGAGAGGAGCGCTGGGCTGAGTGTACTCATCAGCAGCCTTGTAGTTTCCAGTCACTCCTCTGAATTTTCTGGCTCCTGCGTCCTCCCTGTGCCTCAGAGTAGGTGATGCTCACTCCGTTCAATGGTGAATGGTTGCCCAGTGTGCTGACTTGGCTGCTGTGGCTGGGAATGGTTCAGTCATTAGCAGGCTCAAATCTTAAGAGAATTAGGCTTTGTTCTGAGTAGGATTGAATTTTATTTACGAGAATTTTGTTGACTGATCTAATGGCCTTGGTGCTGTGAATTTGCTGTCCTCCATTTTGAGGCTGGGAAATAACTGCTGCTTAGGGCCCAAAGTGTGTAAAGCACCATATGGTTTGCACAGTCCAGCAGTGCTCAAGACAGAGTTTTGTCTGTCTTATGCTATTTGGAAATGTGCACATGCCACGGTTAATTAATAGCCTAACCTTATGAATGTGGAAGAGGGGTGGGGAGATTCACAGAATAGCAACAATATGACTTAGTATAAAAATGTTTCAATTATTACTAAACTATAAGTATTTACGCAGAGGGTGGGGTTTGGTTGGTTTTTTGTTCTGGATTTGTTTCAATTTTTATACACTTCTACAATATAAATCTGGAAGAGTCATTCCAGGTGCAATCACACAGCACCTACAGGATGGACAAGGGATCAGAGCCAGCCAGCATGGGCTTAGGAGGGGCAGGTCCTGATCTCCTTTTATGATCAGGTGACCCGCCTGGTGGATGAAGGGAAGGCTGTGGATGGGTCTACTGGACTTCAGCAAAGCCTTTGACACTGTCTCCCACAGCACACTCCTGGAAAAGCTGCAGCCCAAGGCTTGGGCAGGGACACTCTGTGCTGGGTTAAGAACTGGCTGGAGGGCCGGGCCCAGAGAGCACTGGTGAATGGGGCTGCATCCAGCTGGCGGCCGGTCACTGGTGGTGTCCCCCAGGGATCAGTGCTGGGCCCAGTCCTGTTTAACATCTTTATTGGTGATTTAGATGAGGGGATTGAGTCCATCATTAGCAAATTTGCGGATAGCACCAAGTTGGGAGGGAGTGTCAAGCTGCTGGAAGTCAGGAGGGCTCTGCAGAGGAACCTGGATAGGCTGGAGAGTTGGGCCAATTCCAACAGGATGAGGTTCAACAAGGCCAAGTGCCGGGTCCTGCACTTTGGCCACAACAACCCCATGCAGCGCTACAGGTTGGGGACAGAGTGGCTGGAGAGCAGCCAGGTGGAAAGGGATCTGGGGGTGCTGATCGACAGGAAGCTGAACATGAGCCAGCAGTGTGCCCAGGTGGCCAAGAAGGCCAATGGCATCCTGGCCTGGATCAGGAACAGTGTGGCCAGCAGGACGAGGGAAGTGATCCTTCCCCTGTAATCAGCACTGGTGAGGCCACACCTTGAGTATTGTGTCCAGTTCTGGGCCCCTCAGTTCAGGAAAGACATTGAGGTGCTGGAGCAGGTCCAGAGAAGAGCAACCAGGCTGGTGAAGGGACTTGAGCACAAGTCCTATGAGGAGAGGCTGAGGGAGCTGGGGTTGTTTAGCCTGGAGAAGAGGAGGCTCAGGAGTGACCTCATCACTCTCTACAACTCCCTGAGAGGAGGCTGTAGCCAGGTGGGGGTCGGTCTCTTCTCCCAGGTAATCAGCAGTAGGACAAGAGGGCACGGGCTTAAGCTCTGTCAGGGGAGGTTTAGGTTGGATATTAGAAAGAAGTTCTTTACAGAGAGAGTGATCAGGCATTGGAATGGCCTGCCCAGAGAGGTGGTGGATTCACCATCCCTGGAGGTTTTTAAGACGAGGTTGGATGTGGCACTGAGTGCCATGATCTAGTAATCACAGTGGGGTTGGATCAAGGGTTGGACTTGATGATCTCGAAGGTCTCTTCCAACCCAGTTAATTCTACGATTCTATGATTCTATGATTTACATTGCTGGAGTTTCTGTGAACCTCGTCCCTTTTGAGATGAGCAGAATTTACATGTGTAATTCTCTCAGAATAACGTTATACTTGAAAACACTCTTTTGTCCAACCAGTCTGAGATCCTGAGCCCCCACAAGGCAGGCTGTGCATAGCCCCTCTGCTTCTGTGTCCTGTGTTCAACAGCCTGATATTTAATGATTATGTATCTGTGATGGAGTTTAAATTTTTTTGTCCTTAGTTACATGAAATGCACAGTTGGTACATTTATAGCTGCAGATATTATAAAGAAAAAGCAATATTTGGGGCTCCATTCATTATCTTTGAAATATATGTATATTTAAGTATATTATATATAATTAAGTATGTATATTTAAGTATATTATATATAATGTATATTTAAGTATATTATATATATTTGAAATATATGTATATTTAAGTCAAATTCTGCCTTGGATCTTGAACTCTTCCAAAGTTTTGGTGAGCAGGTCTCCAGAAATGTTCATGAAGATTTTTCTTGCCTGCCTGCTTCTGGAAACAAAAGCAGCTCCTACAAACAAGGCTTTCCCCTCCCACTGGAAACCTTGGAAACACCTTTAGTTGACAATTCTTATCAAACCTTGTTGAGCTGTGACTGCTGCACAGTGCTATGCACATCTGCTCCAGGGATAAGTAGGGTTGTGCTT